GTGAAGTAAAGGCTAATAGATTGGTCAAAAGGTTTCATGTGAAACACCCCAACAAACCGAAAGATAACCCTTAACATATGCTTTGGTTTGCTTTACAGGATCGGTCCTTTTTGCAAGGGGGGCCGGATGTCAACGCTGCAAATACTGTATATTCTTGCTTTGACAATGTGCAGAACTGTCTGGTATATATATAGTTAAAACAGCAACTAGGAAAGAGGGAGGAGCATAAGGATAGCCCGGGAGAAAGAAACCGGAAGTAAATCACATCTTTCAAGTTGATTGGAAGATGTGAACCATGACCCTACAATAAGGGAGTGGACAATGTCTGGAATGCTAGGCGTACCGGAAGAGAAGCAGTTCTAAGCATTCCTGCATGCCGTGCTGATGTACTTTAACATAAATAAAAGCTTTTAGGAGAAAATATGCCTGAAAGTCCTTTTAAGTGTTTCGTTACTCAGACACTTGACACCCTCCCTACTGCTGAGAAGTCTGGGGTGATTTATAAAATCAGCTGTGAAGGCTGCCCCAGCAATTATGTAGGTGAAACATCTAAAAGAGTCAGAACAAGAGTCCAGGAACATAGACTGGCCATCAGAAGGGGAGAACAATACTCTCAGATCCTCACTCATATGGTGGAGCATGGCCACAAATTTAGTTTTGACACAGTGGAGGTTATCTCCAATGACGCCACTAAGTATGGTAGGTTGCTCAAGGAGGCCTGGCTGTCTGATGAATTTTCCATCAACCGACATATAGACCTATGCCCCGCGTATTTGACATTAAGAGCTTGGGAGGTACGTAACCACTTGAGCCGGACCGCTCACAATAAGAACTATGGCCACACCGACCCCCGACCCCCACCTGAGAACATGCATGCTCGTGAGATGGGTGACGACGGGCATGCCGACAGCGTCAGGATCACGAGAGCAGCAATAAGAACTACAAAGAGACCAACACTAACATTGAGACCCTCGAGCGTGGATAATTTAACAGCTACTACTCTAAAGAAGTTTCCGCATTGGGAAAGATGTCTGAAAGGAGGGGAGAGCACCCTGCCTGGCAAGTGCTGTGATGGTTGTCCGCAGCAACTTGGGTTATTGCCGCCCCCGGATTCTTCATCACGCCCCCGCTGCGCTCCTCCGTCTGGGGGCACGTGGAGGAGGGAGGATTTGAGACTTCCCTACTCAGAAACAGTTACGCAGGTGGAG